ACTCACAATTATGACGGGGTCATGTGACGCCCTCTTGTGACCTTCTGACAGGCGACGTCGATGAGGAAGCCGGATTCACTTAACAACCTTGTGACTCATTTAACAATGGCAGCAGTTCTCTTAGGATGGCAAGAAAGATTCTAAAACGGAGCAAAACTGACCGAAGAAATTTCTCACTTAGCAACATAAATCCTGGCCTCCACTGTGGTCATAAGTCAAGGAGTTACCTGGGCGTAAATTACTGAATGTCCATGGAGATTCCCAGACCTCCAGGTCCTGGTTGTCATGCCTGGAGTGTGGGGAATAGAAGGACTAAGACTCCTTGCAGGCAGCTGGTCCTTTGCATCCTTTTGAGAGCGTCGCTGAGGCCGCTTGTAGGTTTACCTGTGTGCTCGGGGGTCACCTGAGTAGTGCAAATGGGTGTGACTACAACACAGTCCTTTCAGCAGTTCCACACCCGTTTGCACTACTCGGGTGACCCCTGAGGACACAGGTAAGAGCTTCAAGGACCCACTTAAAGGATGCAAATGACCAGCTCTGTCTGCAAGGAGGATCAATCCTTCCACTCCCCACCGTCCAGTCAGAGCCGAAGAAGCTTCTGGGATGAGAAGTGAAATCTCTTCAAAGAAGAACTCGAAAGTTCAGCTGCCTTTTGAAAAGCAAAACTAAAGCACCTTTGGGGACATAAATTGAACTGGACTCCTCTGCTTGGTGCTGAACTACTACTGACCCTGGCTGCTCAGGGGTTTTTACTTTTTCCAGCCACCCCGGTAAACTACCCTTCCACACTGGAGTTACTACTCACGAAATAAAAGGCTGAGTTAAATCCCCCCCCCCAAAAAAGCCTGCCAAGTGGGCTCCGCAGCAAGTGGCCTAACGCAGACCGGGAGGCCCGAGGCGGCTCTGGCGGGGAGGTGGGGGCGGACAGGGGCACCTCCGAATTGGGAGAGCAGAGCCCCAGCGTGACGCAGCCTGCAACGCTCCCCCGCTGGGCAGCGAAACACGATCCACGCTTGGCCTGAAAGAGAATCCGTTCTAGATCAGAAAGAACGAAACCTGCCCCGAAGCGGCTCGGGGGATTTGGGACGTCGTCAGCGGAGACCAGCGGAGGGGGGGGCCTCGCTCGTCCTTGGCCAAGAGGCTGTTCTTGCCAACAAAAAGGTTGCTGCGGGGAAGGGGGGGCAGGAGAGGGGGGGGTCTTCCAAGCTCAGCTGTTACTTGCTTCATGGGCAGGAGGCACAAGGAAGGTCGTAAAATAGGTCAAAACTCACTTAGCCACTGTCTCTCTTGGCACCAGTCCTTTTGGGCTCAATTGTGATTGGAAGTCGGGGGCTACCTATAGTGAGATGGGAAGGGAAGGGAAGGGAAGGGAAGGAAGGGAGGGAAGGGAAGGAAAGAAGGAAGGAAAGAAGGAAAGAAGAAAGGAAAGAAGGAAGGAAAAAAGGAAGGGAAGGGAATGGAAGGAAAGGAAAGGAAAGGAAAGGAAAGGAAAGGAAAGGAAAGGAAAGGAAAGGAAAGGAAAGGAAAGGAAAGGAAGGGAAGGGAAGGAAGGAAACAAGGAAAGGAAGGAAAGGAAGGAAAGGAAGGAAGGAAAAAAGGAAGGAAAGGGAAGGAAAAGAAAGAAAGAAGGGAAGGGAGGGGAAGGGGGGGAGGGAGGAAGGACACTGCAGCAGAATTCTAGATATATTCAGAATTACCAAGGGAGCATATTCCCAGCTACAGCCTAAATCTCCATGGATTTGCATATATTTGAACCAGCAGACCTATCCACATTGTGGGTACATACCAGGTGATGGGGGTGATTTTTAATAGACCAGAAATAACAAGGTGGACAAGTTAGGTGCCCCAAAGGCACCGGCAGACTCCCTGGAGCCCTCACCGTCCTCCTCCCATCGCTCAGATGGGGCACCAACAGCTCCAGAAAGCTGAGACGGAAGCCAGTTATCAGAACTAGTCAGGATTTTACAGATTCTTGAGATTTTTGTCACTGGCGTCTCTTTCTCCCAACTGCTCCGCCATAAGCCGGCTCTTAAAGCTCGTCATTCCAGAAATAAACAAACCGCTTCTTCTCCCACAATTGTGGGTTCGCGGTTGCCCGAGGTGTGATTCTGTACCACAGGTGGGGAACTACGGCCGCTTGTACCACTTGCGGACTTCAGCTCCCAGAATTCCCCAGCCGGTCACTTCCAGATGTTCAGCGAATGGCACGGAGTTATGACGGTCGCCGCGTCCAGGGGTCTTGCGAGCCCCTTTTGGAAGCTTCCGGCCTGCCAGATTCCCTAACTTATCAACTACAATGATTCCCTTAACAACGGTGCCAAGAAAGGTCGTAAAATGGGACCGAACTCACTTACCCACTGCCTGGCTTAGCAACAGAAATTTTGGGCTCAATTGTGGCCCTAAGTCTAGGACTCTAGGACTACCTGTGCAAGGTCTCCTTCCTTCAGCAGGGGGCTGGACTAGAGGACCTCCACGGTCCCCTTCCAGCTCTAGGGTCCTTCTGTGTTCTGCAATTTGCTGGCCTGGTTATAGGAGGGGCACAATTCCCAGGTTAAACCAATTCCAGTGGAGCTCGGGGGCACCACCCATTGGGCCTCCCGGTGAGCAGGCGGTCAGCAGGAAGAGGGCCGCTGAAGTGCCCAAGCCCACCTGGAGGGAACCCACGGACGAGCCACCTCCCAGGGCCGCTCTGGGCTGCGAAAGTCCCTGCCAAGAGAGGTGAGGCTTGGCAGCTTCCTCCCCATTCTCCTTCCTTGGCAGGCAAACGTGTTTGGGTGGCTGCTCTGCCTTGGGGCAGGGGAGCTCGGTCTTAGGCTGCCCCCCTGCTCGGAAGACGGCCTTGAAGAGTCCCAGCGCTTGCCGGAAAGCAGGCGGATCAATTCAATTAAGCGCGGGGGGGGGAGGCAAACGTGGCCCCTTTAAGACCTGTGGACTTCAACTCCCAGAATTCTCCAGCCAGCTATGATTGAGAGAAAGAGGAAACAATGATGGCTAGAGAATTCTGGGAGTTGAAGTCCACCAGTCTTAAAGGGGCCACGTTTGGAGACCTCTGGGTTAGAGCCTGTGTGAGAGCAGCCAGTGGTCAGTGCAAATAGAATTAGACAGTCCTACCGGTAGCCCTCAAGCCACAAGGGAGCCCCAAATCTCTGTGGTTAAATGACACGTTTGTCAAGCAAGCTTTGCCTCGTTTTACGACCTCCCTTTTGCCATGGTTGTTCAGCGAATCACCACAGTTGATAACTTGGTAACCTGGTTGTTAAGGGGATCCCCGTTGATTCTGCTTGTCGGAAGGCCACCCGAGGGGGAGCACGTGACCTTGGGACCCAGCCAGCGGTCCCTGAAGTCCCCAAGCCTTAAAGTTCCCAAGTTTGGAGAGCCCTGAACCGAGGCATCCAGGCCAAAGGGCTCAGCTGGAAGGTCTCTGCAGGGCTGCAGCGAAGACACAACTCACAGGGGGGCTCGAAATGGGGGGGGGGGGGGGCGCTTTCCCAAGCTGCCCACTTTAAGGCTTGGGGGGGCTTTGGCTGGCTGAGGAATTCTGGGAGTTGAAGCCCCCGGACCTTACAGCCGCCCAGTCTGGAGGCCCCCTTCGGAGACAGGCCTCTTGCTCAAACCCCACCTCCGCTCCCCAGCCTGGATCCAGCCGGGCCTTCCTGTTTCTGCCACCACCAACCAGGCGGGGACCTCAGGAGCAGGGAGGGAGCCTTCTGCGTCACTTGCCCGCCATGACTACCAACGCGAAGGGCTCCAGTTAACGGCACCCATGCCAGGCGCTCGGTCAGCCTCTTCCCCCCCTGCAGAGACCAGCCTCCCGGGGCGCTTGACCGCTCTGAGGGCTTTCTCTCTCGCAAGGCAGCGAGGACTTCTGCACTGGCTGCCGGGCCCCAAACCAGAGCCCCTTTCGGGCCTGGGGGAGCCTGGCCTGGGAGCCCCACCCGAGGGCGCCTGGCCCCTGCTGGCCCTGCAAAGGGCAGGAAACTTCCAAGCGTTCAGAGCCGTGTGTGTGTGTGTGTGTGTGTGTGTGTGTGTGTGTGTGTGTGTGTG